CAGGTGGATATGATGTGTAGTTAACCTTGTTGATCGATGAGACGATCGAAGTATCTGCAACAGTAGCAACTTTCTTATTCAAAATGGCATCTGCATACTTGGTGGGGTCCAGTAGTGCCTTAAAGAATTACTTTAAATGAACCTCTCGCATCTTATGGTGCTACTGGCTTCTCGGTGGCCCATTACTTACAAAAAAAAGCAAGTAGTATATTTACTCCTTAATGCTATATTTAACCCTGATGCACCAACCTCTTTATTCGTCTCTGTACCATATTAATTTGTCGAATGCTCCGTTCAGTACATTTTGTACAGCCTTCCTGCATCCACTGCAGGGTCTTCCGAGTTTTTATACAGCTCAATTATAAGATGAAATGGTGTCACCAGGTACGATGAGCTTCAAAGAAATGAAGCCTAGGTGAAATTAGGCTGAAAGTGTATTTCACATTTCCAGCTTCTGACATTGTCAATCGAGACGCAGTGAAGAGATACAAATCGTTGTCTAATATTCGTTCCCTAATACAGTCGCTACATAAATAATAATTGAAAATTAACACATCTTTCATGAGAATAATGTTTTGTAATCCTATCCAGTTTGCGAAAATAACAGGTGAGTAATGAAGGAACCACGGACTCATAGTGTTACTAAAGTTATTGTGTAGTCTCAGTCAAAGACATCCTTTGGTGTGTATATTCCAGTGAATCAGGTCAAAACTCTCGAATAGTTTACTGTGTCAAAGGAGACTCGGACTGTTACTTGAAAATTCGATGCAGAATTTAAATGATCGCGATCTTTCAGTCGGCGTGGCCGAACGTTTCCGATTCCCATAAAAATCTTCGGGGATTTACTTCTTCTACGTGACATCTTCCGGCGCGTCTGCATAAAAGGGCGATTCTCGAAGATTTCCAGGAGAAACTACTGGGAAAGCAGATACCATTAAATTTTGGCGAGTTGACGTGCTTTTATACAGATAGAGATAGCGAAGGATTCTTTTATAAATTTGAACGCATTTTGCAAGAAAAATATACTCAAAGCAAAAAAAAAATCGTCCATCATTTTAAAGTTTTCATTAGCAATAAACGGGATCCTTAAATGTTATGGTAGATCAAAGTGGAATTTGAGGGATTATTGTAGTTATATGGATCTTTAAAAGTCACGCTCAACACCAGCAGTTAATATTTGAAACTTAGCCATGGTCTAAAAAAATCATAAATCACCCGTTCTTACCTGTTTTTATCAGTCTATATGAAGGATGAAAAAAATTGTTTATCCACAAACAATCATTGATTCTCTTAGAGAATCTATTGCAGGTTTTGAAATCACCCGTGGGTGGGTGGATAAAGCGTCTTTTATCATTAAAAATTCGATATATCAGCAAGAAATGGTCGTAGGAAGGTTTTGGAAAAAGTTAAGTCAGGCTATTGGAACCATGCAATGGTACAGTGACACTACATGAAAAATAAAAAAGTTGTAATTCTTTTATCTCACACTATTTTTTAGAATTGCGTGTAACCTGTATGTTAAAAAAGTTTGAAATGAGTTTCTTGCAATCTTAATAGGACCATTTTTTATTTATTTTATCCTTTCACGTACTTCCGATCGTTCCTAATTCATTTTGTGAAATTTATTGCGGTTCTCTCTCAGTCAAGGTCTTTAGTAACAAAAAATGCGTCAAGAAATTTGAGTCTGGGCTTCTCACGCAACGCTGTCATAAGCTGATAAAAGACTATGTTCGGCACAAGCTTGACCCCCTGAGAACATAATGAGTTATGAACATGTAGGACACAAATTAAACGGATCAAGTCAGCTAGGCAGGTCCTTACAATAGACGCTTGCTGAATTCACTCTTCAGACACTCGGCAGCGTGGCAGTGACAAAACGACACTCATGGAGGAAACTGACGCAGACATGTCTTCATTATTTCAACGGGAAAGTCTGATGTGTGAAAGCGTCTAATAGTTGGGTAGAATTACCGGGGTTGGAAGCGTGCAAAGTATTGAGATATACCCTCCCACACTCGTAACAATCACCAACCGCCATTTTTCAACACCTTCATGAATTTTTCTAAGAATGGTCAGGAGTTTCTGATACACCAAAGGGCTTCAGCTCTGGGCAGATTTTCAAAAAAGCTTATTTGCATAACAGTGACATTGTGTGATAATTTCTTCGAAATCCTAGGAGTACTTTCCAGGTTATATCCAGCAATATTCATGGGATGAACCCAATACTTTTTTGTCGGTCGTGTTTCTAATAGCTGAATAAACTTCCACACCACAACAGAACTGCAACCTATGCTCCCTCATCCACTGCTGTGAGCATGTCAATTGATGGACAGATTAAGCATGGGTGCTTGAGGTGACAATATATTCCTACATACACATTTGGAAATTCCACATATGGTGTATGTAGTTGCAGGGATTTGAATTCTGTAACGCAACGTCGAACCATAAATGCATTTATCAGATAAACGAGGAGTATGCCAGTATTCTCTTCTAATGCCAACAATGCAGAGATGTAGGATAGAACTAAATTTGCATTTATTTTGTCGGATTCCGTTATTGATGGGGCAAGGAATGATATTACAGACGAGCTGATTTCCATGGAAAATTTATAATTCTTCACTATATGCATGCGTTATGCTGAGCGGATAACATGGAGACGATCTTATTTGTAATTCCGAAACGTACGTACGTGCTTATTCGTTATTTTCAGATGGTAGCGAGCCATCAAAACGGAAATGTCACACGCGAACACCACCGTACAGCAGACAGTAGCTGTTCATGCAACTCAAAATCCAAGTTCACCAAGAAAAGCCCAAATTTGGAGGCAAACTGAGTACCGGCTGTAACGATAGTAACGGAACGGTTCTATATTTTCCAGCTAAGGCATTTTTTGAAAAAGGTCAAGGGTGTGCATTTACTAACTTTGCACAGGGAATTCAGTGATGAACTTTAATTTGACCTCCAGCCTCATCCTTCAAGCTAATTCAAAGTCAACTTTTGCTTTTTAAAGGAAAGGCTCTTTTTGACACCGTCACTAATAAGTGTAAGGTGACATGTCAAACATAATGAGTGACAAAAAAAAGTAAACACATACGTATGTTTATTAGAATCCAGGAATTTTTCATATATCGATTTATCTTGCCTTGAACAACAAGTGATGAAATATTCAGGTTTGTCTGTGAAGTTTTTGTGTTGGCTGCGTGTATTCTTTGGTGATAAACTAGCATTTTTCTCAGCTTTTTACACATTTAGATTTTAATACACATTCAGACGTAGAATGTTCCATTACCTCGATTGCCGGTGTTACAAAAGCTTTATATTAAAAATGAACAGTTGACTTTAAAATACGCTCCAGTTTAAACTCAAGGTCACCATTAAGCTACAGAAACTCGACTTTAATCTAAAAAAATACTGCGCAGTTTGGTTAGGTTTTTTACACTCAGTGTGTTCATACATAATACAGTAAACTAAAGGAAAAGTTGATGCAAAAATCAGTATGTTACGGTGCTTCCATGCTCATAGAATTAAAAGCTTTGTACATTTAAGCAAGGGATTGCGAGGAAAGAATAATGAATTTCTAATTATATTTTATAGTCATTTGATACGTTAATAACATAATGCTTGAATGATAAAAAGTTGGTGCTATTCCTGCGTACCATGCGTTTAAATATCTAGGTTAATTTGGATTGTATGTGGTTTAGTTAAAGGGGTAATTATAGCACTCCATACTTAACAAGGGTAAACTTAAATTATCTCAGGTTAATCACCCCCATTTATTGGATGTGTTACCCTTTCTCCTTTAAATTGGTCCATCGTGTTCAGTATGTTCATGTACAGGGTCAATATGAAGTAAGCACAATAAGTAAGTACAGTGATAGAACTTGTCATTTTGATACATAGAATACCATTTTTCGCACACTAAGCCAGTTATTCTCCTTATTAAGGCTAGATGCAGATGACCATTTTTGGTTCAAATATTTGAACTTTTATTTCGAATGCCAACGAAATAATAAAGTAGAAACTTGTGCCTGTTGTTATCGTATTTTTATCGCTAGCTGAAATTACATTAGAGCCAAAGTTCGTATTAGAGGAAATAAAACTGAATTCGGGGTTACACTTTATACTGATTATATGATGATTCAATATTTCTTCGGTTTAGGCACGTACAATCATCAGAAGCTGGTTCCAAGTATCATCCAACTTTCTATAACGAAAACACGTATTCTCTACACAAACATTTATTGTCCGAAGTCGTTATTGGGTCGCGGTTCCATGTTCTGCTTGTTGTTGACGGACCTAAGGCGTCTGTGCTTTATGCATGTGTAGCTTCTTCTAGAAGATTCGAGCGTGATCGGGCTATCTTCGGATGTTGTAGGCTTGGTAGTTCTGCAGATGAAAGATGGTGAATACTGCAGCTGACGGAGCACTCGACAGTTTTTATAACAGCTAAAAGATGGTGCTAATGGCGTCCCATTCCATAGACTCAAATGGTATACAAAATGTCATTTTTTACTTATTGCTTTCAACAACAAGCTCAACGAAAAATTTTTTAATAGTTGGCACACCACTGATACCCAGACTGCCAGATTACGGACTGTCTAAATGTATTATATACAGTTGTGTCCACTGTAGCATCTGTACATAACCTTCGGCGGCTTTTATGTCCTGACGTACCTCCTATTTATATGATTCAACGACTTCTAAGACTAAGGTTTTTTAGCTATTTCGATTAGAATGATATCATGTACGGAGAAGGTAAATGAAAAGTGCGCGAGACAGCAGCTCAGCTCGCGCTAAATTTCGTTTCTTCATTATTGCACTAGTTCATCTCTTTGCTGCATTTGGAAAGAAACTTAACATAAATCACCTTCTTACTACGCTGAACCTGAATCCGCTCGTGAATTTCAGTACAGCATTCTTAAGCAACTTACATGATAACAATCTCTTGTTGCATGTATCACTTGATTATGACAATACATTTTACAGTAGCTAACCTAGCTTCAAAGGCCGCATATAAGAGGATCGACAGCAAGCGGACTGAGTGTAAATGGGAAGTCGGACATGGCTGTATAGCCCCCATTTGGATGATTAGTCCGATAGAACTCTGCTTTTGCCCTCTCCTCCCTCTCCCTCGTCCTCTTCATGACAATCGGATTACTAGGATGCGGCTGCACAAGCTATTAGAATATGATGTTTTTGGAGGGTGCAGCGCTTCCATTTGGATTTGGGAAGTTTGGGAGTTCGGGAGTACTCAGGTTTTTCTAAGGGAGTATATGCAAATAATTAATGCACTGGATGCAAGGATTTGGGTGCTGAGTAGATTTCAGCGAATTATAGAATCGATAGAATGTGGTCACGTACGAGTATGCATGTGAAACATGGACGATAACAAAGGCAGAAGAAGCAAAGCTGGAGATATGGGAACGGAAGGTGTTAAGGAAGATTTTTGGTGGAAAAAAGTTAAATGATGGTACGTAGACCTGAAAAACAAATGATGAGTTGAAAGAACTGTTTAAAGAGCCTAATATAACGGCGGTCATAAGAGCTCAGAGGTTGAGATGGTTGGGACACGTGCAAATAATGGCAGAACATAGACTACCAAAAGCACTGCTTACCCATTCAATAGAAGGGAAGAAAAGGAGACGCAGACCCAGAACGAGGTGGAAATCTGAGGTAAAAGATGACCTGAGGAAATTAAACATAAGTCATTGTGAAAGAAGAGCAATGAATAGAGAAGAATGGCGAAGGATCGCCAAGAAAGCCATGGGCCTACTAGGCCTGTAGTGCTAGTTTATATATTATATATAACTTGAGACGTGGCCATTGTCGTCTAGACCAGTTAGGTGAAAAATAAAGCTGTCGCCTTTAGTTGGATAGTTCGTGCTGTGCTTGAATTTTGTCGAAGTACCCTAACAAAAGGCGGAAGCTTTATTTTTCACCTAGAGATATATATATTGAGACGTGGTCATTGTCGTCTAGACCAGTTAGGTGAAAATTAAAGCCTCCACCTTTTGTTGGGTACTTCTAAAAATTTAACCAAGGAGGACTCCTTATACTTTTTTAATCTCTCTAGCTTTCAATGGTCTTTGCCATCATCATCAAGAGCTACAATTACATTGATAAAAGTAGCAACAACTGTGTAAAATGAATTTAAATTAGCTTACAGTAGTATGTGAGGATGTTGCTAAATGTTATTTACGTTAAGGATGAGGGAAACACCCAGTAACATGGTGAAAGCTGGATACATGGTACAATGGTCAAAATTATACAAACTACACATAGCTGTATCACAAGAACAAATTAAAAACAGAATAAAAATATTTAAAATGAAAGTTAAGCATTACATCGTGAAGCCACTTGATGATTGCACAAAACATAGAATCATTTAGCAACATCCTCACATACTACTGTAAGTTAATTTAAATTCATTTTACACAATTGTTAAAGAGTCCTCCTTGCTTAAATTTTGTCGAAGTGTCCAACAAAAGGCGGAAGCTTTAATCTTCACCTATATATATATATATATATAACTTGAAGATGTAAGTACCAGTAGAAGAAACTTTGATAGCAAGCAGGAGTAATTAGACATCAAAATCTTCATCAGTAGATCAAAAAGGTAGACAGCGAACTGCCTAAGTTCCAGTTGAAGTGAGTCGGGATCAGCAAATCGGAGGGAAGTTAAAATGACCTAGTGAAATTTCGTTTCCATACTCGCTAATTTCATCTCTCCCTGAACTAGATGCTAACTACATGGCGGAATACAAAAGACGTCGTTTATAACACCAAGATACCAAATCTTCCTTCCACAAATTTTAATTGGCTTACGACACTGATAGCATAATCTTCAACGCGTTCTGAATATATAAAAGCCATATGAACATCCTGCACCGTGAATCAGAATATACTACATTTGCAAGTTAACGGGAGCATACTGCGCTCTAGAGAGAAAATAATCTCCTACCGGGTGTTGCCTCATGCCCGCTGGAGTGTATTCTAAAGAGATATTAAGGCTATAAGCAGGTATAGGTATATAAGACAAAGATGACCTGCCTGGGTTTCCCTCTTAATTGCCTTTGTTACGCTGCTGGTTTCTTTCCCCATACTCTAGCCATATGACCACCGTCTCGTATTGGGCATTACTAATAAACCGACCAGAGCCCGGATTACCTCCATTTGCAGCTTACGCTTTTATCCGGTCTATTTGTATATGTTAAAGTTGAGTGGTTTTTAATACAAACACTTCAGATTAGGGATTATCGTCCCTTGGGCCAGCTGCGGCTTCAGTGAAATTTGTGGTGCCCCCCACTACCAAAAGCACTGCTTACCCATTCAATAGAAGGGAAGAAAAGGAGACGCAGACCCAGAACGAGGTGGAAATCTGAGGTAAAAGATGACCTGAGGAAATTAAACATAAGTCATTGGGAAAGAAGAGCAATGAATAGAGAAGAATGGCGAAGGATCGCCAAGAAAGCCATGGGCCTACCAGGCCTGTAGTGCTAGTTTATATATATATATATATATATATATATATATATATATATATATATATAACTTGAGACGTGGCCATTGTCGTCTAGACCAGTTAGGTGAAAAGTAAAGCTGTCGCCTTTAGTTGGGTAGTTCGTACTTTGCTTGAATTTTGTCGAAGTACCCTAACAAAAGGCGGAAGCTTTATTTTTCACCTAGAGATATATATATTGAGACGTGGTAATTGTCGTCTAGACCAGTTAGGTGAAAATGAAGGGATCCACCTTTTGTTGGGTACTTCGACAAAATTTAACCAAGGAGGACTCCTTATACTTTTTTAATTTCTCTAGCTTTCAATGGTCTTTGCCATCATCATCAAGAGCTAAAATTACATTGATAAAAGTAGCAAAAATTCTGTAAAATGAATTTAAATTAACTTACAGTAGTATGTGAGGATGTTGCTAAATGTTATTTACGTTAAGGATGAGGGAAACACCTAGTAACATGGTGAAAGCTGGATACATGGTACAATGGTCAAAATTATACAAACTACACATAGCTGTATGACAAGAACAAATTAAAAACAGAATAAAAATATTTGAAACGTTAAGCATTACATCGTGAAGCCACTTGATGATTGCACACAATGGTGGGAATAGAATCATTTAGCAACATCCTCACATACTACTGTAAGTTAATTTAAATTCATTTTACACAATTGTTAAAGAGTCCTCCTTGCTTAAATTTTGTCGAAGTGCCCAACAAAAGGCGGAAGCTTTAATTTTCACCTATATATATATATATATATATATATATATATATATATATAACTTGAAGATGTAAGTACCAGTAGAAGAAACTTTGATAGCAAGCAGGAGTAATTAGACATCATAATCTTCATCAGTAGATCAAAAAGGTAGACAGCGAACTGTCTAAGTTCCAGTTGAAGTGAGTCGGGATCAGCAAATCGGAGGGAACTTAAAATGACCTAGTGAAATTTCGTTTCCATACTCGCTAATTTCATCTCTTCCTGAACTAGATGCTAACTACATGGCGGAATACAAAAGACGTCGTACCAAAGGTACCAAATCTTCCTTCCACAAATTTTAATTGGCTTACGACACTGATAGCATAATCTTCAACGCGTTCTGAATATATAAAAGCCATATGAACATCCTGCACCGTGAATCAGAATATACTACATTTGCAAGTTAACGGGAGCATACTGCGCTCTAGAGTGAAAATAATCTCCTCCCGGGTGTTGCCTCATGCCCGCTGGAGTGTATTCTAAAGAGATATTAAGGCTATAAGCAGGTATAGGTATATAAGGCAAAGATGACCTGCCTGGGTTTGCCTCTTAATTGCCTTTGCTACGCTGCTGGTTTCTTTCCCCATACTCTAGCCATGTGACCACCGTCTCGTATTGGGCATTACTAATAAACCGACCAGAGCAGGGATTACCTTCATTTGTAGCTTACGCTTTTATCCGGTCTATTTGTATATGTTAAAGTTGAGTGGTTTTTAATACAAACACTTCAGATTAGGGATTATCATCCCTTGGGCCAGCTGCGGTTTCAGTGAAATTTGTGGTGCCCTGTTTATACTGCCTATAGAGGGGGTGACTAGCGAATTGATCAGCGAAGTTTCTACTTTTACTCGCAATCTTTTAGTTATCTTAGCAATGTACCAGCAAAATGCAAATCTATATTTATCAGGCAACAGTTTCAGTTTGCAAGGAAGCACCTGGATTGTATAAGACAGCTGAATACTTCTCATTACTAATATATTGGGTACTAGGGCCCAACTCTATAGGCGTTATTTACATATAATAACAAAAAATGCCGACACTGTTGTGTCATGAGGAAACTGTGTGTTGGACAAACTATTGGCGAAGATTTTATATTTTTACTTAAACTATCATAACGCTTACAACTATTGCAGTATAAATTTCGCTGAAATAGTGTGGTTGTACACATTTCACAGCTGAGCCTATAATTGTGACGGTATCGTATTGATGATTTTGATTTTTTCCGTTTTTATATATACAATCCAGTATGTACATGGAATACACAGTTACAATTTTAATTTTGTATAATATTGCATATCATTGTACTACGCACACAAATTTTATGCCAGATGTCGCTTCCGAATTCATAAGCGGCGATTCCTTTTAACACTTTAGTCGCTTTGTAAATCTACTATTATTTCTGATCGCCTTGTTTTCGTTTGAAGCTTGCTTTTTGTACATTTCCTTACGATCATAAAAAAGAAAGAAATCTTTAGTTTCAAATACTGTGGTTGATAATAAATTAAATTAGGCAGTTCTGCTGCATGATTGGATTCACAGTTGGAACATTTAGCACTGTTGAAGGTGGTTAAGATTCCACTTTATTTGACCACCTGGTCTGAATGACAATATTTCATTTATGATAGGCGGAAGCTTAGCATCTTTTATAAACTTCTTCCATGTCACGTCTCCGCGTTTTTGTTATGTGTTGTTTCATGCAAATGCGATAAAATGTCGAGAGCGGTCACCGTACACGTCCTATTCGTTTAGTTGTTGAATAGCTGAATTTAGGTTTTCCCAAAAACACAGAAAATCCGGCGTCACTTATTATGCACCAGCATCCTGTTATTGATCTGTATTTGAGGACATGGAAAACCTACCTTCTAAAAAGATATAAGGAATGCCTAACCTACTCGAGCATACCCAGCAACATGGGTCCAATGGCCGTTTCGGTTTTATTAGGGAATTTTCAGGTTGCGACCTGTAGGAGCTGGGACACAAAGGAAAATGTTAATATACATTTGCGAAAAAGTAAACAGGCAAGGAATCTTGAAAAAAAAATTAATTCTAGATTGAAATTGCCCAAATGGGACATGAAAATTCATAATTATGAGCAGGTATCTCTCTTCTACAAGGTTTCGCGTCAAATAGCCTTGGTTTGACATTTAAAGACAATCACATCCCCTTTAGAGTGAAGCTTAACCGTTTCCCATTAGTTCATATATTGCTAAGCAGTGAGACAAACAACCCAAGTTTTCGATGTTACCAGACTGAATAGACCAACTGTTTTGATAGGGGCCCACAGCATCATCCGGGTTACCGGTCAGAGAACGCCTCACTGTGAACAAAGATCTAGCTTCATGTCATGGTCATCCTGTAGTATTACTCGTAACCCGATAACTCGCTACCTCTGGTCAGAACTTCCTGCAGCTTAAGTCCCGCCTCTATTTATTGTTTGTTCTACGAGTTAGACTAGCTGCGGACCAATTAGCAAAAATCTCTGGAGGAGGATTGTTCAAATCCAAGGTGATTCTCGGAAACCCTCTATCCCGGAACCGTAAATATCTTCAAGGATTATATTTGGGGTTGACCGAGTGTCGTGCTACTGATCAGCCGGCCGGCCGGGGCGTGAGTTCGAATCTCGCCTTCGCCATGGATGTTGTGACGTCGTGTGTTTGTGTTTGTCCATAATTCAAAAATATTCGTATACAATATACCAACCTAGTTTCTGGCTGCATGGCCTGGTCCTAAAGAAAAAAAAAAAAGATTATATTTGTTTGATAATGGCATTGAGCGCTAGTTCGGAGAAACCAATTAACTTCTACATATTTACTTATTATACGCAGAAGTACCGAGAAGAAATGGCAAGGAACTTCTAGGAAGTCTATGGATGTATTAAGATTTTTTAAAACTCTTCGTATCCCTTTGCATCCACGTAGGGTAAAATCATAAGGTCTACCGATAAATCAATAAAACTGATAATCCTGGGCTAGAACTGTAACAGGCTTGGATGTCCTTGAATTGTCTCGGATCCCAATGTAACACTTAAAACTTATCCTGTGGCTCTCATGTTGATAGGACTCCATTGTTTGGCCGGTAAACCAAACCACATATGTTTTAATTACTGTTTTCTTTACGATGTTTTGGCCACCATGCTGGCCTTTTTCGAGTACACTGTGTTCCAGGTTGTGTTCATTTACTTCTTCTTCTCGCAATTACTATACAATATGAACTTATCTTCCTTCAGTAATTGTTATCTTCTTTGAATATTTATTTGAAAAATAATATACAAATAAATAAGAAATACCCACAGAAGGCATAGCGTGGTGAGTTTCCAGTATTCAATCTATACCGGGTAGAGTTGTCATCATAAGTACGATAGTCATAATCGAATGTGGATGAATCTGATAGATTAGAGAAGTGAAAAGCTTATTTGCTTTAGCTGTATGTTTAGATCTGTTTAGCCTTATATATCAGAAACTATTAAAATAATCCACTGACAGAAAAAAGGTTTTAAATCCTTTATACAGGGTGTCTCGAAAGAAGTGTGCAATATTCTACCAGCGGTTTCTAGAGCTTAAAATAGAAGGAAAAGTTTATATAAATATAGGTCGACAAACGTCCCCTAAGGGCGCTACGGTCTTTTGAAGGGGCTCCCCTGAAGATGGTTTTTTCTTAATATTTCGGAAACGTGTTGAGATAAAGACATAAAATTTTAGCCTAGTTTTTTATGCTGGATTTAAAAATATTCTCAGGTTATTTTAGCCCCAAAATTTTTGTGTGATTCTATTTTTGAAATTCAATTTTAGAATTTGAAAATCTAGTGTTTTCTACATAAAAAAGGTACTCTTATTGAATATCGATAAATTGTGCCATTTCTGAATAAAATCAAACTAAAACATTTGTCACATGATGGGAAATGTACTGCGAATTTAAATGAATTGTTGAATAATTAGTCATGGCAACGAAAAAACTAATTTAATAATTAGTAAATATTACATAAATATATACATATTTCTATTGCAACATTTAGTCAACAACAAAAGAAATAAATTTTTTCTACGAACGAAATTGAAATTTCACAGTTGGATATACTCAAAACTAGCTTTACAATAAGTAGTGCTCAAATGAATTCCCATTTTGTTGGATACAGAGTCTTTGAAGTAAATCTTCTTGAGTATTTACTTCAGACGAGTAAACTAGGTCTTTTAATGACCCCCAAAAATAGAAATCCAATGGATTCAGGTCAGATGCACGTGGCGGCCACGCTATAGGACCTCCTAGGCCTAACCACCTGTCTGGAATATTGACATTCAACCAATTTCGAACATGGCCTCCAAAATGTGCAGGGGCGCCATCATGTTCAAAAAACATATTTTCTTGAAACTGCTGGCGCACATCCAATGGTATTATATCCATGAGCTCATTCTGAAGAAAGTTCAGATACACCTCTGAATTAAGACGATTGGGAAGTACAATAGGCCCAATTACTTGATCCCCAATTACTCCTGCCCATAAGTTCAATGAAAATCTATATTGGAAATTTGTACGGCGAACAACTTTTGGATTTTCATCTGACCAGTGATGCATGTTATGGAAATTTAAAGCACCACTCCCAGTAAATATTGACTGATCCGACCATAATATTCTAGAAATAGTGTTCTCATTTGCTAGTATCTACTGGCAAAATTCGATTCGTGCCTCCATTACATGCTGCACCCGCTTAAAATGATAAGAATGTAATCCTTGCATTCTTGTCATTCTTCCTATCTAAAATTATTATTTTTAGGATAACTATCAAAAGGTATTCATAAATTTTTCTTACTATTGATCGAGGTATATCCATAATTTCTGAAACATTTCGTATGCTTATTTGCGGATTATTTTCAAACATATTTAAAGCAATATCCATACGATGATTTCCCAGTGGCCTTCCTGAGCCCTGCGCTGAAAACTTCCATGGTTTGAAAAATTCAGGTAAATATCAGTAAACATTCGACGTCCAGGTACTATGCGATTGGGAAATCTTCTTTGATATACTCTTACGGCTGCCAATGAACTGCCATTGCAAAACCCGTACACAAAATGCATGTCAGTCAGTTCTCTGTCTGTAAATCTTGGCATTTTAAATCGAATTAATATAAATTTTGATTTTAATCTAGTAATTTTACACTGCTAACAATGTCAGCTTAACGTCAAAATAAGTCATAACAAATCAAAACAACTTTTGTTTACAGTCATATGTATAATCAACAATTCATTTAAATTCGCAGTACATTTCCTATCATGTGACAAATTTTTTAGTTTGATTTTATTCAAAAATGGCACAATTTTTCGATATTCAATAAGAGTACCTTTTTTATGTAGAAAACGATAAATTTTCAACAAACAATTGAATTTTCGGGAAATGCGGGACGGTACATGAAAATCAATTTTAGCTGTACGAGTTTGTAAAGGAAGTTTAGACTATTACAAACTCTTCTCAGTTCAAGAGGATGCATTTCAAATCTGAGCAACATCGCTGATTGGGGAGTCTCACGATTGGGATAAACACCATCTAATTTGGAAGTCAAGTATTTAAGAAATCTCCTCTGTACACTTTCAATTCATTAGTATAGATTTGGTAATATCGATGCCATACACTAGCTACATATTCCAGCTTAGAACGCAACAAGGTGCAGTATAAAGCCTTCAGTGCAGTTTCACTACCAAACGATTTAGTTTCTTATCAAAAAACAGAGACTTTTTATAGCGGATGATACCATTGTACTAATATGACCTGTAAATTCTAGTTTAACATCAAACAACACACCTAGATCTCTTACTTCTGAACATCGCATCAAACTGACACCTTCCAGTGTGCAATCAAAAACTATTGGATTCGTTTTCCTGGTAAAAGAACAGGTTTTGCATTTGCTAACATTCAAAAATAATTTATTAGTTGAACACCATTCAAATATATGATTCAGGTCAGCAAGATTAGATAGTCATCAATGCTGGTAATCTGAGCATATACATATTTTTAAATAATCGACAAACAACAGAGGACAGGTTAAGCAGTTAGGGAGGTCATTGATAGAAGAAAGAAAGAGAAGAGGGCCTAAATTTGAATCCTGCGGTACACCGGATGAGGCCGAGTAAGATGAAGGTTTGAAACCATTGTAAGAAACGTACTGATTTGTATCATGCAAGTAAGAAGAAATGAAATCTAATGGATGATTGCTAAAACCAAAATGCTGAAGTTTACCTATGATTCTTTGGTGACTAATCTTATCGAAGGCCTATGAGAAATCCCTATAGACCACATCCATATCACCCCTATTATCTAAGACCTCTGTAATTTCCTGGGTGATTTCAGTTAAGTTAGAAATATTATCCAATATAGATATAGCTAGGTAATTTTCGATTTTAATAGCGTCCCCAGCTTTAAAAATAGGGCACACTCTAGCCAGTTGTCATTTTGTAGGAAAAGTTGCTGTACTGAGGGAATAACTAAAATTTTTCTTTAAAGGCATGACAAATATGTGCGCCGCATCACGGACTACACAGAAATTTCCTCATAAAATATTGTTGGTCCCTCGGAGACAGATTTGTTTCTGTCTACAATATGCCCATCGGCAACCAGCCATCTTATGATGTTTATGCGTACTAGCCATACATGAATGTTTACCTTCCTCTCAAGATACCTTCTTTACCGGCTTATCTGTTCCTTTTGATGTCGTACGTGTTTTTTTCAGGGTAACTTATTTTACTTTTTTGGAGGGGGTTGCGTGCGCAGACGGTCCAGCGCCATTTTGCTTTCTGCTGTGGTTTTGGTTGTGTGCGGGCGTTATTTTTTTCGTTAGCTTCCAGATTTTGGGATAATAACGCCCCACGCGCCAGTTTATGGTGCCTTACGGTTAGTTGTGTTGGTTAGGGTACTACCCCGTTCCTTTTTGTAATGGGATTTTAACCTGCAGCGGTAAGTTCTCTTTTGTATACCATCGGACTACGTCCTTTAATGCTTGTCCTGAAGAAGTTTGTTGAATATCTGATTGCTTTTAGTGGAAAGCCATTGTGGAGAACCACTATTCACACTTCTCCTGCTTTGTTTTGTAGCTGCCTTGTAGCTGTTTCGCAGCCGATTCTATTGGAAGCCATCTTTTCGCTTTTATAAAAACCCTGATGAACAGCTAACATATAATTTTAATTGGGTATTTTATAGATATTGATATATCGATTGTTGCTTACTGAAATTCTTAGATGGTTCTTGATTTTGTTTGGCATTTTACTAATTCAAATATAGTGTAGTGCCTACATGTCACTGTCTTTTGGGCTTATTAGATTACATTAATCATGATTTTGGATTTTGAGCTACGATAACTTATTTTAGAACAAGGGATAACTTTCTGAGGGAATATGACTTTTGTACATTTTTATCTTTTCTTGCCCTTACAGAAAGAAAAGTATTTTTCTTGTAAAAGAGAATGTTCATGGACTTTTCTTCAAGTTTGAGTCTTTTAAATGAGTAGTTCTGCCTCAGACATAGAGTAGAGAGTAGATTTTTAAACAGTCTTTTTCTCTCTCTAGCGTTTTTTTTATACCATAAATTTTGAGAACGAGGCAAGCAGCCCCTACTTTGTGACGTTCCTTACGTTACTGCTCACTACTGGCCACTGAGTTTTTGAGAGCTGAGAACATCACAGCTACTCCTAGAGCTGTAACTGGAAGAAGACCATTGTCCAGATAAGTTTAGGTTTAAACGTTATACTATTTGTAAGGCCTATATTTGTAAAGCCTCCGTACGTGTACCATGGTAAACGTTTTGCAGGGTTAGTTATTACGGTCTATTAATGTTATTGTCAGGTAGTTTTTAATAACATCTTTTCTTTTAACTTGCATTTTAGTGGTGGAGCATATGTGCTGCTTGTTTTGGCAATATATTGTGATTCTGTTTTAGATATCTTGTTTTATTTGGCTCTATGTATATAATTAATTAGGTTGCATCGTTACTATTAGATTAGTTTGAAATTCCTTTACAAACTCGTACCCAGAGTTGTTGACTCTTCGGCTTTATTAGCTAAAATTGATTTTCATGTACCGTCCCGCATTTCCCGGAGGTTTCTCGCTTTTTACTTAAAAATACCAATTTCTAATGTTATGATTAAGTCACCGTGTACTTTGTGTGCTCCAGGCTTAACGCCATAGCTGATAACTGTAACATTTATCATGATAAAGTCAAAGATATATTGGCTGTATTCAGCGAGTCCTATTATTCAATTTATAACACTTAAGACATGTAGGTGTAACTATTCATTTTTTTCAGAAACTGGGCGAGCTATGATTGTTGTTAAAAATACTATAACGTCAAATTGCATTCAATTACAATGTCCTTTAAATGTATGTATCTGTTTTGCAATAAATATATAAATAAAGTAAAAAATAAATAACACGTGCTGCAGCAACCAGTTCTATGTGGGTTTTCACATTCTTAGAGAGCGTTTAGGATCTTTGGGACTATAGGCGAGGGTAACACATTTGGCAAATTGAAAAAAAAAAACGGCAGATCACCTTATGTTTACTTGTCGCTTTGGCAGACTGGACGTTCTTTGCGAGCGGAAATGCTTTCCCCAGGCGATCCTGAGCTTTACGCGGTGCCATCTTAAACTTATAAGGATGGTCTTAGGCGTCTTGTACAACTGAGTCCTGCCTCAGATCTTCTCTCAGTGGGATAGAAAAAGTACAAAAGCTTCTGATGGACTTATAGCACTGGTATAGAAAATCTGATCTCCTTGGATTGCCTAGATTCTTCTCCAAATGCTGTGGAACTTCGGTCCTTTCTGAGTTATCTTGGTTCTTCTCTCACAGAGGAGTCAAAGATCAGTAACCCTTATAAGTGAGCTACAACTACCCGGAAACTGAACCTTGCAACTAAGAAAGTTCTACATACTGCAAAATGTTCGCGTATCGTCTTTCCTTTTGTTTGCAAGCCTGCTGCTGCATCCTTGATTACGTCATTCCCGCTTACCTGGTGTTGGTGCAGATACAGAAACATCCAGCCACGGTTACTGAATAATACAACAGCTAAAAAGTTATCCTTTCGTGCCAACGACAAAGTACACAGACTACAATAAGTGAGGTCACTGGCGGAAAAACCTTTTAGGTTTGGACTATTCAAAGTTGCTTCAGTTCTCAGGGTCTCATTTGATTGTTTGTAAGGGAAGGCTTTGTTCCTATTCTTTTCGCCTGGCTTTCAGTAAATGGGATAGTTCCTTAAGGCGGTTTTCGCAGGGAGTCACCTGAACTCTTTGAGGTTATGAGACAAAACTAGTTTTGCACGTACGATTCGGTTTCGACACTAAACTGAATCGCTTAGTGTCTCGCGTGGAGTACTAAAAGCTTGAGCTATAGGGGACAACCCATATGTTTCACGATGAAACTCCATTTTTGTAAGTTTTCTTGGGCGTCATTGCCATAATTATTGCTGAGAGAGAAATATCAAAACATTTGATAATTGAAAAGGGTTTGCAAATGTTCAAAATTGGCATTCGAAATACCTTTATCCGAACAAATTGTACTTCCATTATGACTATTTGGTCTCTTATTAACATATAGAGATGTCCGCTATCTAACATGGTAGCCAGATTTATATTTATCCTGTGTTTGCAAATTTTTTTAGGAAGTTCACATTTAGATAGCAACGGTTTCCATGCAATTCTTACAGATAGCATAAGAATCATTTTTTGCAAAATGTTTGCCTGTTTCTTATGGATTAGATGGTCCGTTTATTCAGCTTCAATACACTGTTTTCAAAATCTTGATTCGATCCTTTGGACATTGTTTTTTTTCATGAAAACATTTTACAATTCCTTCTTAAAATTGGAGGTGTCACAGATATCCAATGTGACAACAAAATAAGAAAAATAAGTATTCCATTTTCAACCAGATTACAGGATCTTTTGATCCAAAAATTTTGCTCATTTGATTCCTTTCAAACCTTGACCAATCCAAATGTGATTGATTTCCCAAAGGCAAACAGTAACTTCTTTAGCCTCAACTCCAAGATAACAAAAAAAATCCTCAAAGATTGTTACAGTTTTCGAGATTTCACAAAAAGGATATTGAGGCTGAATAAACGGGCTATCTGATCAATATGATGGCCCAACAGAAACATTTGTTTTCAAGCCCGTGGATTAAAAAGAAGAATGCAAAAGTTTCGGAAAAAGTTGTTCTGGCGCTATCTGCTAGAATTGCATGAGAATCGTTGCTTCTAAAATTTTTCGGCTAAAACACCTGAAGATTAGAATCTTGAAGGTTCAAAATGTTTTTTCATAGTGATACGACCAGTTTTAACAGAAATATAGCCTCTCAAAAATTACCGAAAAGATTGGATTTTGTTCTTGCTCCTTTAATTCTTTTAAGAAGTGTATCATCCCTTTATACATATCCATATATTGTCAAGCTTTGATAAGAGAGAAATTTGCATTTGTCACAGCGATTGAATATGTAGATAATAATAATTGATATAATTTTTCAGCTGTATAGTTTTTTACTAAATCTACAATAATAACTAATTTAACTAACTGATAGGAATTTTGATCAGTAGATCTGACAACATTCCTCTAAAAATAACTATACTTTAAAAAATCATCCTACTTTCGGCCTTAAGCAGAGAGACACTTTTCCAAAAAGTAGATGTTTTTCAGCAAAAGAAAATCTTGTCAAAGCGCTTGCTTGAAACGCAATTTTTATGTTTTGGGCTGGATAAATCTTTCATAGCCAGTTTGAGGCAGAAAAGCTTTGCAGTATTGCCCCTGTTGACCTTTGACTGTCGAGACCTAGGGTAACTAAGCTGCCTCTAGTAGTTTAATGATTGAGAAATAGGAACAGTGTTCCTACTGTTTCTAGCCTTTAGACTTTTTCAACGCCAGCGCCAGAAACGTTCCGCATGGAAACGACGTCATGGTGTGGCAAAACGTCAAAAAAACCAACAAGCGAAAACTGCACTGAAAAATTGAAACTCCAGACACTGGCACTTGTTTCGATGGACCCTCCTGTATATTATGTATACAGTCTGCAGTATGATTGAGCCATGAAAAATTCAATGGGGACTCTCACGCTTAGCTCAGGCAAACCTTCGTACATCGGGAAAAATATCGCGTTGGAAAAGGGTCTTCAGGGATGTTCGGTCATGAAAATAGCTCAAGTTTTAAGTTGGGTATTCAAGTATTTTAAACTTTTATTATCATTTTCCTTTTTATTTTAGTACACTCCCTGTTGTTAAGAAACCCAAAGATTTCTCCATTTTTGAACTTCTATTAAAAATTCACCTGTTTTCGATTTTTATATATCCTGATGGTCGCAACACCTTTTACTTCTGATCTATAATGAAGTGCACTAAAATACTAAGCATATAGAAACATAAAAACAAAATTAATACACAATTAAAATGAGATTTCAACTTTTGTTTGTAATGTGAGCGCAGTTGAGCAATACTTCTAATTTAATATATGCGTTGTGTCTTAGTGTTTTATTAAAGATTTGAAGTAGAAAGCGTTCCAGCCTGGCGTCATAAGTAACTATTTTAATGGGTGAATTTTCGACAAAAATTTCAAAATTGCGAACTTTGCCCAATACCGGGTATCGTTTTGGTTAAACATCCCTTGATTAGTAATCCTGGATTCATCCGAAAAAATAATACGGTGATGGAAGACAGCATTTATGTTCAGATTATTCGAAAACCAGTTGCAATAACCTTGGAAAATCATTTTCAAACAGATGGTGATGAATTTGGTACTTAAAAGATTTAAAGCCGTGTTTCTTAAAAATTTGCCTTGCACTTTCGTGGGAAATTTGGCACTGCTCACCTATTTCGCGAGTAGAAGCAGTCACGATCATATTCTACGTATGCTAGGACGTATACGAGTATTTCGACTCCTTCGCTTACTATAAAACCATTACCATTAACAGGATCGTTATGTTCATTTTTCAAATGTTCTACGAGCCAAGGATAATAGGCGTCTGATGGAGCTTGACGATCTGGAAACCGCTCCTGATATAATCTTGCGGCGCGCCTCGATTTTTTTTGGCATTTACCTTAAATAAGGAGCATGTCGATTTGATGATCTCTTAAAAAAATCATTATACATTGTAGCAGTTAACTGCTAAATTGATTTCAAATGAAATAAACAAATAAAATAAAAAATATTACACAATAAACGATGCTGATGTGTGGAAACGAGACTGATAGTTGACAGTAATTTTAAAGGCTTACCATTTGTTACCAAAGCATCCCCACATCTCCGTGCAAACCAGTGAAATACTCGACCTGTTGATTATTACAATTCTGGCTTTTTAAAGTAAAGAAAAGAAAACAAAATAATTATAAAAAAAAATAAAAATCATAGATATTTTCTGTCACGTGAATAGATAAATACCTATTAACTGTGATTAGGTAATAACAAATACTAATTTTCTAATTAGTTATAATGCATGATATACATAGCTCTCCAAAATTTTCCAGCTTTTTTTTCTCTAAGACAAGTTCCTTATAGTAGACATTTTTTTAAAGATAATCCGACATACTTTATCAGTGTTATTTAGAAAACATCTCTTCCTATTCAAAATTCTAAGAGAATTTTAAGTACATTTTGACATTTTAAGCAAAAACTAAAATGGCAGCAAATTTATGATATTTTTTTTGTTTTGCCAACTCAATGCAGAAGCTGCAAGAGAATAGATCTTGCCTCTTATTTCAGCAAAAAATCCATAGGTATTGTCAAAAAAAAATGGCAACTTGTGATACATCGTTAAAAAGAGAATTTTAAGCTTTATGAAAATATGTAAAAATATATACAGGATCTTATTTAAAATTCTTGTTTCATACTCACTTTCGATAAAACCGGAAACAATATTCAGTTATCTTTTAATGGATAATCTGAGTTTTTATAAGACATATCTTCACATCAAAATTTCAAGGTTCTTTAAACAGCAATGGAATAGTGCCTTATAAAACGATTTCGTCGGTATAATTATATTGATTTATTTGCTTCTGTCTGTCAACATCGGTTGAATGGAAGAGAGGATCATTCTATACGACAGCAAGGTCCAAATTCTATCATTTTCCAGCATCTGAAATTCTTCAAGTTAATTGTATTTTTTTGTGTGTGCTTGTCTCAGACATCAAAACCATTTCTTACTATTACTATTATTATTTTTATTATTATTATTATTATTATTATTATTATTAATGTCCTCCATAATATTGCAAAAATTATAGTACAAACGTATTTAAGGGATGATTTTACAACTATATATGCATAAATTTTTCATCTTGAAATAATTGTGTGGCTACTCATTAAATTCCACATGCTATTTTTTTAAGAAATCTACAGGTGTACTGGAGATATTTGATAACTATTATTTCATTTCATATCCTCTGCTTGCTCATGATTTCATTTTGCCAAAGGCAGTTCTAAATCACTTTGTTTGATTTGGCTAATTATGCAGGTACTATTGTAATCTAGGAAATCATTTTTTCTAACATAACGATACTTGGAAGCGTATTTCTAACGCATTCAGTCCTTCCTACTTCCCATGAATGGCGAGAAAGTATTGTAATTGCGAAAAATTTCGAAAATAAGATATTATGTTTTTGGATGTTAGATCACATCTACACCATGAAAAACCATGTTACTCATTTCCGTAATTCTGTCTCAATAACATTTGTAAACTTTTAGTGTGTCCTGTTGTTCTCTCTCCCCTAGCTATGTCATTGGCAAATTTAGCCACATGCCTCCAACTTCTTTATTCAACCATCCTTTCTGGCTGAGCATGCAAAGGGTGGTTGTGAGATGAACTATTATATCAGTGTTAAATAGGAGTTCCGATGGATAGCCAGGTTTTTGCAAGCAAGTCATACATTCCGGCTTGTCAAGTTTAGCACATCATTTACATACGTCCAGTCAGTTTATCGTAACAGATGCTGGGAAGGAGCTGAGTTAGCTGTTTAGAACGAGGAGTTATTTCTTACTATCTAATCTTACCCTATATTTCATCATTAACATCA